ATGCACACGTGGTGCAGTGTGTAGTATGAGTACAACCAACTCAACAAGCAACAATACTAAATAAAGAGCTGAAGATAGTGACGAGCTTCACAGTTGAGTCCAATTACAGTAATTTCCAACATAAGATTTAGGGCACGCTTTCATGTTCAACATTTAACACTCAACAATAATTTCATATCAAATTCGACTGAAAAAGAAGATAATATCTTTCTGAAATTTCCAACACAGTAATATATGAAAATTATAGTGCAATAAGAATGAAATCGTATGCATCCTCTCAGTACCATAGTCACTAAGCCATTTTATTCACTCAGCACTCAGCACTCACACTCAGTAGGTACCTACGCTCACTCGGGGTATGTACAGACTCCGGAGGGGCTCCTACAGCCCAAGAGCTATAATCCGCACGGACAACTCACGTGTTGTACGGACAACTCGCATGCTATAGTATCAATATCTGGATCCGCACGAACAACTCACGTGCTATAGTATAATATTTGGATCCGCACGGATAACTCACATGCAATAGTATAATATATGGATCCTCACGGACAACTCACGTGCGATAATATAATATCTCACAATCAGGCCCTCGGCCTCACTCAGTCATAAATCTCTCCAGTCTCTCGGGCTCTCAATGATAATGCAAATTAGCCCAAACAAAAATAATACGATGCATCAATAATGAACAATAGAGACTGAAATAAAATAAATAATTAAATTGTGACCGAGTACAAAACAACAATTTAGCAAATAATTCAATATGTGCACGATCTATATGGGTCCCTACAGTGCCAACACATAATCTAAACATGATTTGTGGTTCAATTTCTCTACTACATAAAGAATGTACATATAATAACAGATTATTCAACTATACATCTCCATGGGATTTGACCAAGTCACAATTCCTACGGTGCATGCCCACACGCCTGTCACCTAGTATGTGTGTCACCTCAAAATCAATTATATAACACATAATCCGGGGTTTCATACCCTCAGGGCCAAATTTAGAACTGTTACTTACCTCAAATCGTATAATTCTTTATTCTGCAATTGCCTCGCGAATCGGTCTCCAAACGCCTCGAATCTAGCCACAAATAATCTGATTCAGCCAATAAAAATTATAGAAATTAATTCCATAAGAAAATATAAATTTTCCATCAAAATCCAAAATTTCACCCAAAAATCGCATGTGGGCCCATATCTCGGAAACCGATAAAAGTTATAAAATCCGAAATCTCATTCACCCACGAAACTAACCATACCAATTTTACCAAAATCCGACATCAACTCGACCTCCAAATCATCAAATCTTATTTCCAAATCCCTAGGCCCATATTCCCGATTTACACCTCAAAAACACGTAATTTAGTCGGATTATTCGATGATAATTCAATATTATGGAGTAGAAATGATTACAAGTGACTTACCTCAAGATTCCCCGTGATTTATCGCTCAAAATTCGCCCAACCCGAACTTGAAATGCCCAAAAATGGCAAAAGCTCGGAACCCCTCTGTTTTTGTACTGCCTAGGGGTTTTCGCTTCTGCATAATTTGGACCGCATATGCGCCTTCGAAGATGTGGAAAATTCCATCGCACCTGCGCGCCTGCCTGCACCTGCGCCCATCCTCCCGCTTCTGCGCCAGCGCTTCTGTGCAACATGAGCCGCATGTGCGGCATCGCTTCTGCGAGGAGCTGCCCGCTTCTGCAAAGCTGCCTCACCAAGCGCCCTTGCGCTTCAGAGATAGAAGGCTCGCTTCTGCGAGCTCGCACCTGCGATGTAATTTCCGCATGTGCGATTGCATCAGATGGCAGAAACTTCAGCTTTTCTTCTAAGCCCGAATTTGATCCGTTAACCATCCGAAACTCACCCGAGACCTTCGGGACCTTAACCAAATACACCAACATGTCCTAAAACATCATAGAACTTAGTCGAGCCTTCAAATCACATCAAACAACACTAAAAACATGAATCACACATAGATTCAAGCCTAATGAACTTTGAAACTTCCAATTTCTACAAATAACGCCGGAACCTATCAAACCACGTCCGATTGACCTCAAATTTTTCATACAAGTCATAAATGACATAACGGAGGTATTTTAATTCTTAGAATCAGATTCCGACCTTGATATCAAAAAGTCAACCCCCCGGTCAAACTTCCCAAAAATTTGACTTTTGTCATTTCAAGCCTAATTTCACTACGGACCTCCAAATAATTTTCCGGACACGCTCCTAAGTCCAAAATCACCATACTGAGCTATTGGAATCATCATAATTCAATTCTGAGGTCATTTACACACAATATCCGATCAACCTTTTCAACTTAAGTTCTAAACCTTGGAACTAAGTGTTCCAAATCATTCCAAAACCTCACCGGACCCGAACCAATTACCCTCGGCAAGTCACATAATAAATGCAAAGCATAAATTGAGCAGTAAATGGGGGAACGGGGTTGTAATACTCAAAACGACCGACCGTATCGTTACAGCACCGGTGTGGCGTCATTCCCCACATTGTGGGTGTCACTGATTGAGTTCTCGAAATGAGGTTGATCCCCTCGAATTTCAGGGTTGTGTGCATGGTTAACAATGTTATCTGTCATTTTTGCGATTTTTTCTAAGGCTAAATAGTCAAAACACGTTAGTAAAAAAGGTAATGGTCGATTTCATTGCACAGCTGTCAAGGCCCCACGGTGGGCGCCAAACTATCTATTCGTAAAACGGTACAGTTGAATTTATACATGGTTACTAGATAAGTGAATTAATTTGATCCTGAAATAATATAATAATCGAAAAAATACATAATACTTAGCCTTAGAATGTAGATAAAATAACAAGCACAGTGGCTGCATTCGTTCCTCAGCCATCCCATCTTAGATTCCACGTGTCTTCCTTTTAGTCAGCCACATGTCATATCATATTTTACTTTATACAGCAACTGCTTTAGGCCCCATATTTGTGGGGGGAGGTATTTTTTGTTACACCTAATGGGCTATGTATAAGTTTAAAAAAGGTTCTGTGAAGTAAAAAAGTTTGATTTCTTTCTTTAACAAGTATATAGAAGAAGGATTTACAACTGCTATGATTTCTGCCACGAAAATTACACTTGAAATGAATATCGAACCCGAATTTCGTAAAAAGTGTATGATATATAGGAAGTAGCAATTTGATGAGAATGTTGATAATAAAATCTCAAAATATTTCGAAGAGTCCTTTGGAGTTGATTACTTTATACATAGTAGACAAGGCTATTTTTTTCACTTCAAAATAGATTTGAATAATTCGAAGCATATGAAAATATTTTTGGTTTTCAATTTAGCGGTAAAAATTGAGATCACTAAAGCATAATAATCAATTGGATATTGATGGTTTAGATTATTTTCGAAATTAAAAATATTAAGAAAAATAGTACAATTAGAAGATAACAGTTTAATTGATACACTCAGTCAACTAAAAAGATTTGATTCTTTTTCCAATGGCTATATTACTTATGGAATAATTTTAATAACTCTTGTTACCGTAGCTTCAGCAAAAAGAAAGTTTCAAAATTAAATTGATAAATCTTACCTAAGATCAACAATGTCTCAAGAAGGTTAAATGGATTAGTTATATCGTCAATTAAGAAAGACTTATTAGGAGTTATTGATTATAAAAAAATTATTAATAACTTTGTATATAAGAAACGCTAGAAAAATAGATTTCAAATAAATAAATATTTTATTTTTTTTTAAAGTTAAGGCCCCTCATAAAGTTTGGCTTTAGGCCACAGAACTCGTCGGGCCCGCCCCGAATACATTGACGAATATTCTTATTACTTGTTTTCTTAAGACTTAAATATGTTATGATCTTTTTTGTGCATACAAAAACATGTCTTTGATAAAGGTAATTGAGAAATTTAAAGTAAATAAATAATTAAAATATATCATTATTTTTTTAATATATTAAAACAAACAATATATAATATAAAATGGAATAGAAGGAGTATCGACAACAACTTTAGTACGTAAGAATCATGTATAATTGAAGTTAAAAAGTCAAAAATAATAATGTATACGATATTTTCCCTTGCTAAATCACGCGTAGACTTTTGAAAATTTGGGGAGTAGGGTATCAATCACTTGGCCGTTCAACTCCACGAGATCAATTACTTCATAATTCTCATTTCCCAGTATGATAAACACTAAACAGTGTGCTAATAACATTTTGAATCTTCTAATATTATGAATAAATCATATCACTCGTAAGTATGGCAATTTGGACGCGGAGCTAGTCACTTTGTTCCATTTACACCCTCATCTCTTCGTTCCAAAAGTGTGTACCAATTCTAATCTTCTGAGTAATTCGGTCAAATTGTCTAAATTTTATTTAGTTGCTTTTGCAAATATAAGCATGAATTACCTTAAATCAACTCTCAAAAGAATGTTGTTAGCCTTTGGCATGTATTTTTCCTGGTGTTGAAGATATGACCGGGGTGGTGCATTTGGAGTTTAGAACCAATGATTGAAAAATGAAGCTGCCCTTGTATTTGTCAACTTCGATGAGCTTCAATGGTAGTGCCATACTTTACAATGATATCTTGATATAACTATTTGCGATAATTGTGGTGACTTGCCTGATGGCTTACAGAGGTTTCTTTAGTCTGTCCTGGAAGATGTTGCCTGAATTTTGGTTTTATGATGCCTAATGTCTGCATATGTTAACTGTCAAAGGAAAGAAGTTTGCACACTGAAAATATTTTTTTCATGATTTCAAGTTATTTAAAAATAATTGTTCATAATAAATGAAACCAATTACCTAAAAATAAACCAAGCAATTGATTACACAAGACAAATTATACTTATAGTGTAAAATTTCTTTCTACTGTCACTATAAGTTGAATCCTAAAGGAAAATGTCATCTTCTATAGACATTTAACAGTTGCCAATTTTTATTATACTGAATAGTATAAGAAAATTTACATCAAATCCCAAAGGGAAATATTTCATCTTATCAAGGCATAAGAATTGCTGCATTATATTTGATGCCCGAAATCAATTATGACGCGAAACTGAACCAATTGATCGGCACTTACTGAACATCTTTTGAACATATCAGAAGTATTGTTTGTGTGATAGTTATTACTAATATACACAGCAATACTGCACACAAAAATACAGAACAGAGAACTATTCTAGTAGCATGGAGAGATTGAAACATAGGGATTTCTACTATCAGTATTTCTTGAACCAACTCAAGCAGCTTTCTGAGAAACTACAAAGCTTCCTGGGTTAATGGTGATACTCTTTGTGCAGTTATCTGTTTTGTAGATGCCAATAAGCCGATCAGCCAGCTCAAACATGTTGTTCCTAAGGCTGCATGGTATCAAAAATAAAATGAGAAACAGCTCGTTTCTTATTGATGTGAATCGCATAACCTCAAATGCAGTACCTTATGATTATAAACTGTGCATCCTTTGTTCTGTCCTTCACATAATGTCCCACGATAGAGACATTCTTAAAATCTGATATGCGGCCATCAATAAATGAAACCAATTTCAGAATTAGGAGACCAGCAGCAATGCAAGAAGAAATTCCATCAACTCAAAACCTTAAGATGATGGGTGGAGTAACCCACAACATTAAAGGCCCTCCGGAAACTCTTATACAACTAATGAGGGACAAGTGTATTTTCTAACTCCCTCACACGCCTGTAAACTGGTTATCAGTAACCAGTTTACACATGGATTGAAGATCTTTTTAAAACTAGAGAGAGGATGCTCAACAGAAGTGGGCCTGAACTAGAGGGAGAAATATTAGGCTCAACAAGCTAATAAATGGGCTTGGAGCAATATCAGTGGCTAGATTGACTGATTTGAAAGAACGAAGCCCAGACAAATATAATATAAGGAGAGAAAGCAATTGTGCTAACGTGATCACCAAAGTTTGGCTCTGATACCATGTAAAAGATTTGAGCGCCCAATCTAAAACCTTAAGGTAATGGGTAAAGTAGCCTGGGACATTATAAATCCCTTCGAAAATCATTACACAATCAATGAGTGACAAGTGTATCATTTAACCATTCTAAATTGGCCAATGTAAAATGAAGAAAACATACCTAAAGCAGCATCAATCTCATCCATTACATAAAGTGGAGTAGGTTTATAGTGGTGGAGTGCAAAAACAAGAGCCAATGAGCTGAGAGTCTGAAATTAGAAATTGACGTTATATGAATAAGAGTTGCTTGCTATACAGTTGCAATAACCTGTCAAACCAAAGCCAAACACATAAGTTTGAGACTTACCTTTTCACCACCTGATAAGTTAGCAATATTCTTCCAGCTCTTCTTTGGTGGTCTGACACTGAAAACGACACCTTCAGAGAACGGATCAAGAGAGTCCACTAACTCCAGTTCGGCATCACCTCCAAGGGTGATCATCTAGGGACGGCCACAATGTTTGTAATATTAGTGTAAGCAAACACATAAAATTCTGCCTGCTTTAAAGCATGTGAGTAATTTGAATATTTATGTCAATCAATTGTGTTATATGAATTTGAACCCCCACCCATTATATGCTTGGGATAAATTTTTGAAATGTCAAATCACAAGCACGATCACTATAGAAATATTAATGATAAAGTAAGTAATGCAAACAAAAGTCTGTTAAGAATTCGTAATTTTTCTAGTCACTTAAGAGATTTTTTTATCTAACTATTTCTTGTACTATTATCTGAATTTTCACTGTGAATATCCATAACTTGAATGTCTAGTTTCTATTTCTTTCTCCTTTTTACTTTCTACTATATATGATTGTCTACCATTCCAAAGAAATTTCTCTTATCATTACATTGACACAATATTCTTTGCTCATAAACTATAAAACTAAACTACCGATAAGATATTTGTGTAGTTCAAGGAATAATCGCTTAATAAAATTGTATTTCCTTATCCCCATCAACCCAATTGCTAGAGATTTCTCTAAACATATGAAATTCTATGAAACATCATTCATTTTGTTCCATAATTCATCACCATATGTACATATTATTTAATGAGCTTTATATTATACAACTATTAACAATATCAATCAGCAGAAATGCAAGCCAAGCTCTATGATGATGAAAAGTTCAAGTACTGTGGGGGGGAAGAAAAGATTGAAACTAATAAGATCCACCGTGTTTCTTTTATAATAGAGAAATCCACTGTTTTTAACTTTGAAACTTGGTGGATGGGTCTGCCTCTCTACCTTTATCACTTAAATACTAGGTTCAATAGCTAGGTTTTGAACTCGTGATTTGTTGTCTGACACGCATCCCCAATTTTACTACCCTTTGCCGTTGAGCCAAAGCCCTGAGAGCAAGGATTTATATCTACTATTATAAGACCAGCAGATGTGCTGCAATCACAAGGTTAACCAACAAGATATCCTGGCTGCGCTGTAATATGTACTTCATCAGTCTAGAACAAATAACACTTCTCAACGTGTAGATGACATTCAACTCAAGTGACAGAAGTAGAAAGTTTTCTAAGAAGAAGACAAGTTCAGTTAGGACCTGATACATTTCTTTGAGCTTCAACGATATGGTATTAAAACCCGCCATAAACTCATCCAACCTGAATATTAATCACAAATGTTGTAAGCTAATGAAGCAAAGAAGCAGAGGCATCCAAAAGTTGAAACAGACATTCTAACGTTAAACAATACTTGCCTTCTCTTTCTCCACTCGTCATATTGCTTCTTTATATCATCGCGCTCTTGGGTAACAGAATTTAGTTCTTGAACTCTCTCATTGTACACAGATGCTTTGCTCCGATACCTGGTGACAGTGGACATCATTAGCATAGGTATATCAAGAGAATCAGTTATGCTACAAGTTTTCACTGCATATAAATGTCGACTGATGCATACTCAGAGATTGAGTCGAGATTTGGGTTCATCTCTTTCAGTTGTGCTTCTAGAATCACAACCATCTCTAGAGCTCTCTTAAGATCACAAGTCTCAACAAGAGTTCCATCCCTCAGAGTTGTTTGAAGCTTTTCTGGATCCACCAAGTCCTTTTGAATCCTATACCAAGAGGAACAATTACATGTATTGACAATGATACAAACAAAGGATGAGTGTAACTGTATTAGATAGATATAAAAGCTAGAGCATCCCAGAAAATGGTAAGATGTCAGCATGCTGAAAGAAATCCAGCTTACTGCTCAATATGCTTTGAGATAGCAACAAGCAAATCATCGAGCTTTTTCTTATATCCTTTCCCTTTGAGCTCCAAGTCTTTATAGACCTTCTTCATATCTTGTAACTTGTACTCAGCATCCACCTGCAGCTCTAGTTGCAGTGGGTTAGAAACCCATTGAATAGAGAAGCGAGAAAACTTTATAAAGACTGGCACAAAACCTCTGTCGAACGCAATTGATCCACTGTCTTCTTCAGAGTTTCATACTCATTTTTAGCATCATTCAGAGCACTGGAGTGCTGATCAATAAGCTAGAAAATCAAGAAAAGACATTAAAGGGAAAAAATGAGAGAGTTATAGAGAATTTTAACTTAACCTGTATAATCAGGAATTGCCGGGAGTAAATGCAGATATTTTCTTACCTCCTGTATCTTATTATAGTCCTCTTTAACAACAAAAGCTTTCTGTTCAATCTCTTTAAAAGTGCAAAGCAACTTCTCTTTCTCGGCAACCAGTCTTTCCTTCTCTTTTGTTGATTCCTCAATCCCTTTTGTGAGTTTTTTAATCATTTTCTGTCCTGTTTCTATCTTAACTTTGTGACGATTGATCTCTGTGCCTTTTTTATCAATGTCCTGGATAAGAAATAAAAGTAAAAGTAGCATGAATTGTGTCCAGTATGCAATTCAACATGCACAAGGTCAATGTTCACTTACAGATTGAATTTTGGTAACCTTTGCCTTTTGACTTTTCAAGCGCTCACCACCTGCATTCTCTATTTTATTCTGAAGTTCTGAAGCCTGAAGCAATTAAAACTTGATTAAAGCAGCTTTTGCCACTTGCCATGCTTTAAGAAATTACAGAAGTGTCTTGCAGAAGTGCCGAAATTAAGCATAATTTTACCTTCTTTTTTAACTGTTGTGAACTTTGTGTAAGCCTGTCCATTTCCTTTTCTTCAGCAGACATTATTTTTTTGAGTTCTTTCAATCTTCTAACTTCCTCCTTTCTGGGTTCCGATGCAATCCTTAAGGTATCCAGTTGCTTTATCAAATCATTATGTTGGGACTTTAGGCTGTCAATCTATCTCAGGAAAAAACTTCAGTTAACTTATGATGCAGGAGCAAAATAGAAGGAATAGAAGAAAATAATGACAATAACCATAACAAGAACAACAAAACTCCAGGGGCAGCTCAGACCTCCTTGACGCTTTTTGCTAATTCCATCTCAAGTTGAGTAACAGCCTTCTCTGAGGCCTGATAACACTTCACCGCATCAGTAATTCTTCTCCGTATATTTTCCAAACTTTCAACCAATGTCGAAAGATCATTTTCCGCCTTGGACACAGCTTCTGGAGAAACACTAGCAGCTAAGATAGATGTGCCCATCTTCCCACCTCGTGGCTTACCCCCACCACCACTCATCGTCCCAGATTTTTCAAAAAGGGCTCCATCAAGAGTTACAACACGCCGAAATTCTTTGTCCCCACCATAGGCAATATGTGTAGCCTGCAAAGTAACAGAAGGCACAGAGCTTAGTGCAACAGCTTCTGATGAATTATGGAACTCCATGGACAATATACCAACGTGGCATAGATATCTCAGTAACAGACTTAAAATTTCATGTCATACTTTCTGGGTAAATCTGTTTGCTGATTGCCATTTTGGAATTAAGGGAAGAATTTATTAGGAGTAACTTTTATTGCTCAGTTGTTTACAGACCATAGAGAGGTTGTAGACAGGCCATTGAGTCTAAGGGTTTCAAGTTGAGCAGGACTAAGACGGAATAACTAGAGTGCAAGTTCAGCGCGGAGCCGAGAGAGGCAGGCATGGGAGTGACCGAGTGAGGCTTGAATCACAGGTCATTCCCAAGAGAAACAGTTTCAAGTACCTTGGGTCGGTTATCCAGAGGGATGGGGAAATCGACGAGGATGTCACACACCGTATAGGAGATTAGCATTTGGAGTCATGTGTGACAGGAAAGTGCCATCGATACTCAAAGGTAAGTTTTGTAGAGCGGTGGTTAGACCGGCCATGTTATATGGGGTTGAGTGTTGACTAGTTAAGAACTCACATACCCAGAAGATAAAAGTAGCAGAAATAAGTATGTTGAAATAGATGTGCCGGCACAATAGGTTGGATAAGATTCGGAATGAAGATATTCGAGAGAAGGTGGGCGTGGCTCCTATGGATGCCAAGATGCGGGAAGTGAGGCTTAGATGGTTCAGGTATGTACGAAGGAGAAGCCCAGATGCCCTGGTGAGGAGGTGAGCGGTTGGTTTTGACGGGTACGAGAAGAGGTAGAGGGCGGCCTAAGAAGTATTGGGGAGAGGTGATTAGACGGGACATGGCGTGGCTTCAGATTTCCGAGAACATGGCCCTTGATAGGAAGGTGTGGAGGTCGCGCACTAGGGTTGTAGGTTAGGAGGTGGTTGAGCATTTTTTTTTTAATTTCTACTTCGTACCGGTGTGAGGCTAGTCTGATAGGGTTGTGTCTCCGGCTACTAGTGGTTAATGTTGTGTTCACACTATTCTCCGTTTTCATTGCGTCGGGCTTTATTTACTGGTTATTGTTATTGCTTTTCATCTATTTTCTGGTTCTTATGATGTTGTCATTATTTCTTGATTTTCTGTTGATGGTACTGATATAGTGTTTCTTTTCGACGTCTTGAGCCGAGGGTCTTTCGTAAACAGCCTCTCTACCCCCTCGAGTAGGGGTAAGGTCTGCATACACACTACCCCCAGACCCCACTTATGGGATTTTACTGGGTTGTTGGTGTTGTTATTTACGGACCATAGAGAATTCTTCACTAGAGATATCCTTGCAAAACAATATCCCGTTTATGAAAAACAAATGAAGATTCTAAGGTACGGTTATTTAACCCTCACCTGATCAATATCTTTGGCAACAACTGTGTTTCCTAGTGCTGCAAAAAATGCAAGTTTCATTCTCTCGTCTTGGACCTTAATTAAATCAAAAAGGCGTGGAACCCCTTCTGGCGTACTTACTTTCTGTTTGATTCTAGGCAAATGAGCAGTTTGCTTTTCCTGCATAACACAAATACGGAATCAGAGACACTGTTGAAATCAGAAAATATTTTATTCCTACATCTCTTTGTTCAAGGAGCCGAGAAGCCTACATGATAGAAAGAAACCATACCAATCACAAACAAACAAAAAGTTATCTGCAACCACTTAATTTAAGAGGAGAATCTACCAAAATCATGAAAGTTGCAACACCGAGATTTTTGTTGCGAAGTAACTCAACACAAGCTTGGGCTGCTGCAGTAGTCTCGACTACAATATAGTCTAGTCCAGGACAAGCGGTTGATATGGCAACATNTTGCCCCGTAATTTCATTAACTTAGCCTCCAAATGAAAGAAAATACATGAAATCAAAGGACTATCAGCAAGTATTAAACAAGAACCAGAAACACTAACCATCAATAGCACCCAAATCACCCATTCTACCATAAATACCCTGTATATGATTTGCCTCCTTAGCATGCAATATTGCTTTAAGAACTGATCCCTGACTCTTTTCAGATTCCATTACAGATAAAAGCTCGGAAAGTTTTTGTCGAGCAACTTGTTCAAGTGGAATCAATCTTTCTTGTTCCTGAAGGCATTCCTGCAATCACTCGATGCATCATGAGCGCTCTGAAGACATCAGAAAAATGGTCAAAAATGAAAAATGGCAGACCCCTAATGCATACTTGTTCCAGATTTCGAGCTTCAGATGCTTTAAGCTTCAGATTCTCAAGCTCACTCCTGGCGTCATTTATGCTAGTCGATTTCATCTCTAGTCTTTTCTGTATTTCCACAATCTGCTCTTGAGCTTCCACATAAGCAACACGAGCAGCCTCATGCTGACATAAATAAACAGCAATTACCAATAAATGACATAATCTACAGCAAACTTAACTAATGCAGCGGTTTAACATAAAAAAAACAATTATAAATATGAAATTTATCAACCAGCCGAATGCATTTAGGGCTTGATATTGCCTCACATCTTAAGATTATTCAATTAGACATAGATTAAAAGTATTTTGCAAATATCTAAGTTTTCAGTTTGTATACCCTGACCACTAACTTTTGGCCATTATTGAGCCAATAAACTTATTACATTGCTCATCAAGCCCAAAGCTGCTTTGAGTTTTTTTCCCCACATCTTAGATGTATTCGGAGGTATAAAGCTCTGCCCGGAACATAATTTTAGAGGGCATGGATCAGTTTTGTACTCGAGTGGAAGTTCAATTATGTACTACGAGATTAACCAGATTTTACTGGGAAATCTTTCCACCCGCACTTTCACAGCCTAATCTTGAAAGAAACAAACACCATGCGGACGAGTACAGGAAGACAGTATAATTTACTGACGTGAACCGACTCCTTCATATTGGTAAAAGCAGCTCGAAGTAAAAGATTTCCTGCTGCTCTAGTTGACAAATGCAGATTGCTTAAGAGATACGTGAACCAAATTACAGTGATAGTTGTCAGGGTATGAAATAAATAAGAAAGAACAACCTTAGATGTTGTAAATTGGCAAAATACCTTTTCAGTCAGAAGTTTACTTTCAGTTGATGCAACTTCAAGTTTTCCCTTGTGCTCGATTAGTAGTTTTTCCCAAGGCTCGAGTTCAGCACGAACATCAGCAAGCTCACTTCGAAAAACCTCAGTCTCAACTATTCGCCAACATCATACAAGAATGAGACCACGATATATGCCTAAGGCTAAAACTGATGGAAAAATATGAGCAGTTTGATGCAACAAAAAAAACTAATTCTGTGCACCAACTTTTCTGATTCAACATCTAACTCACCAGCAAAAAACATCAAAAGTAATGATGCCAATTAATCAAGGCAAAAAGATTTACTCTAAGGGAAACCAACAAAGAAGGGATGCCATACTATGAAAAAGGAAATATGAAACCTTAATGGGGAAACCAGCTGTTTATGATACCATCACATATGTACTACTAAAGAACAACATAAAGAGGCTCGCTTTTATAAGAGGCACATTAATTTTGCCAAAACCAGACAGTATTGTGTAACATGCTGCAAAATGAGTTAGCAAAACAACTTTCAAAGTATCATAAACTTAAACCCATAAGCAATCCTGGCTGAAGATACTCTACCTTTAGAATTATCCTGAATTTCCTCTAAGATCTTTTCCTCATCCACCAAAAGTTGTTGTAGTTTGGGAATATCTTCCTCCAGTTTTGGAATCAGAATTGCTGCCTCCTCACAGTCCTTTGTTAGGTCAGTAATTTTTGTGGAATCCTAACATTCAAGAAAACAGACAAGAGATGTACCTTAATCAAACAGAAACTGACAGTTATTCGTATTCCCATACATTTACTATATTTTTCTGGGAAGCAACTTTCAGTTTTTGATACCTTATCAACTTTATCATTAAGCTTCTTTATCTTCTGCTTCAGGTGACTTAAATCTTCTCGGTATTTTACATCTTGCCTCTCAAATTCCTTGAACTCGTCCTTGCAGCGCCTCAAACTGTTATCAAGCTCCTAAAATTTCAAACAAAAAAAGGGATTCAAAGCAAGGTGCTCAAGATTCTTTTTTCAAAATCAATGAGTAGGAGAATAACATTATGCGAGTTTCTAAAACCAAAACATTTAACAGATGCAGAGTTCCAGGGAAACAACAAATATCCTATTCTGGTTATATTAAGAAGATGCAAAGGATATATGCAATTCTTATCCATACCTCTTGTTTTTTAAAATGCTTTGAATGCTTCGCTTCAAGCTCCTTCAATGTTTTTTTACTTTCTCGAATTTTCTCCCTAAAATAAGTCAGTAATTAGCTCCACTAGCTTTCATTATAACACACAAACGTTTGCATTTGTGCAACCTTTGTTTAGAAAAGACCCCACCTCTCTATTTTAAGGTCCTCTTCCTGTCCAGAAATGTTTTCCTGCATCTCTGAAATTCGAGCTGAATTATCTTCAAAGGCCAAATTTGTTGCTTTCTCTTGCCATTTTAACAATGATAATTCTTTAAGCATGTAGGCTTCAGCTTCATTCTTCACACCCTGACAAATGAAGCCAAGATAGTATAATTAATTTTCTGTAATCTTAAGGAAACAGGAATCTTATAATGGTCTAAATATACCTCCAAGTTATCTCTTTCTTTCTCTGCTAGCTTGACCATCTGAACAACGCCAGACCTTCTTTCGTTGAGGGATTCTAGCCTACAAGAGCATTAAGAAATAGTAAATGCATGTTTTAGAAACATTGAATGCACTTTCTTGGGCACATACTCTTCTCAATGAGCAGTGATTCATTCTAGGTTAAATTAAATGATATAACTGCAAGAACGAAAACTCCAAATGCATGTATAGGACAACAGGATGAGTTCTCAAGATGGAAAGCAAAAAATAGCTGAATCATATAACTAGGCAGATATCACCAATTTCAATGCTTAAACTTAAAAGAATTTTGACATTAAATCTCATCGCATATTCATGCCAAAAGTTTATTCTTGATTGAACATGGTTACAGATTCAGGACAAGTTGTCAGGATCTTCAAATCAGCCATTACAACAAAATGTAACAAAATGCATGCCAGTTCAAAAAATATCAACACCGTAGCAACAATAACAGTGTTTAAGATATGGGTTGAGAACTAACTGCTTAAACGATTCTTCAATCATCTCAACATATTTATTGGTTCCTATAATATCTTCTAGATACTCTAGAAAGCCTTCATCATGGGCACCTTGTGCCTTTGGCTTCATCAGTGATATTTGCTCAACCTCACCCTGCAAAAATCCAACCACCTCAACCCCTTATAATCGAACAATATTCACAAAGTTAACTTCAAGCAAGTGATAAAAATTTAGACCTGCAAAATCAAAAACCGATTATTATCCAAGTCGACACCTTTCCCTTTCAGTTTCTTGGTGACCTCTGTAAAGTTACTTGACCGGTCATTGATAAAGTACTTAGAGGAATTATCTCGGAATGCCACACGTGTAATCACGAAATCACTTCCAGGAACAGCTTCATATGCCTCGCCATCCTTTAAACAAAAAAATGAAACACTTAAATGAAAAGTTAAACTGCGACTCTAAATGGCCATTTCATCAAGAGGAAAACAAGAAGTTACCAAATCTATTATCTCCTGGAAATGAACAGACACGCCAGCACTCTCCAAATTCTGGTGATTAGTTGAATTATGGATGAGCTCTGAGACTTTATTAAGACGCATCTGCATAGTTAACAATCAAATAAGAAAACGCAAAATATTTACGCCATTGTACACAACTATATTCCATAACCGTAACAAGCTAAGAGTAGGAGTTTTAAATTGGAATTCAACCCGCTGAAGCAATTATAATGGCTATTTAGTACTTAAAGTTTCAGCATTTAGTAGTAGATCGAATTCAGTAGCATAGCTAATGCTTGCTTTTGCGATGAAAAAGGTTATATATGATGAAATGATATATCAATTGTGTATCAAGATCAATGTAGTGTGTTACTATTGTTGAATTGTGTGAATCAACTCGTCTAAAAGCTTAAACAGTTAAAACCAATACTAATAGCTTAAATTTCGGATGAAACAATTCATGGAATACAACAATATTTTAGACGAAACGGTTCACACAATTCAACAATTATATGTGTCAAAACATTGAAATTGCTTTTAAATTACTCGTATCTTACCTGTTTGGCTCTCTTTCCGAACACGAACAACATTGCATCAATTACGTTACTCTTGCCACTACCATTAGGACCAACAACTGCCGAAAAGCTCTGAAAATAACACGAATTTAATTTCCTATACATTCAATTACAAAGAAACAGAGTTTTTCTAAATAAAAATAAACCCTAACCTTATGAAAGGGGCCAACACGCTGTTCGCCGGCGTAAGATTTGAAGTTTCTCATGACCATCTCTTTAATGAATAGCCTTGGAGTTCTAGATCCACGACGAGGAGATTCATCCGTCAAATTATTGGCGACCGGCGATTCCATGTTTACACCTATTTTTCACTGGTTACACACACTACCTGTTTCCAGCGACGAATTGCACGGAGATGACGGTCGACAGATCGGAATAGTTTGACTGTATCGACCACCGGTTAAGAGAGTAAACTTCGGTAGAACTCTTAGCGAAGTGCTAACCAATTTGGACGGAAACAGAAAAGAAAAAGATGGAGCGTAAAGTTTTGATTTTTTTGAGAAGATGAAATATTTGGGCGGGAAACTAAAGTGCTCTAGGATCGAATTAGTTGAGCCACTTATTCAGGAAGTGCACAAATAGCCTTAATTTAAATAATAGCCGAATTTGATTCCCAATTCAAACTTTAAGCCTTCCGATATGAAGTTAGGCTATGACACTTCAAAGCTTTAAAAATGGTTGTTTTTTTTAAAAAAAACAACAGCAGGAGCTAAACACTTCAAAAATTTTAAAAACTAAATATGTTTTAAGTAGGAATGTTAAAAGAGGCTACCTGGTGTCATTTCTACTTATTCAAAGTAATATGCACGATTGTACCCATCAAAGAAGCGTGAACTTTGTTTGGAGTTTGCATGACCCAATTGAGCTCAAATCTATATTTAGCTATACGTCCGAGCTTTTGCTACAATTGCAACTCTCAACAAGGCCCAATTTAATTGGCAAGGTAGAGTTATCAAGAATCCAAGATCATGGGTTTAATTATCCTAAATTTAGCACGGGCTAGCCAGTTTTCGGACTGATAAATGAAAAATAGTCAGCGTTTGTAAAATCATTGAAAAATAGCCACTATTTTACTGTAACACAGAAAGTTCAAGCATAATATACTGGAGATTGGTGCACCTTGTGTATGAACTTCCAGCACATTATGTTAGAACTCCAGCACATGGAAAGTTCCATCATAATATACTGGAGATTGGAGTACATGTGTATAAACTTCTAGCATATTATGTTGGAGCAGTATATTATGCCGGAAGTTCACATGTAAAAAAATTCGAACTCCGGTATATTATGCTGGAATATTTTTTGGATTTTGAACAGTGTTTTCATTTAGACTTATTATCTTTACATGAAAAGTGGCTAAATTTTGATTACTTTTGAAACTGCGACTATTTTTCAATTATCACTTGTAAATCTAGCTATTTTTGAATTTCACCCAATTATTTGCTTATATGAATAGACTTAAATATCAAATTGCGTTGTAATGTAATGTTGGTTATAGTTTTTGAATTTTATATGTTTCTCTGGGGATAACTTGTAATTCTAGCACTTCACTAAGTGCGGAAATGAAGAAAAGGAACTAGATTTTGTAACTTTTGGATCAATTTAGTTTCAGTCACATTTTCTAAACTTTTTTTTTAGTTACACGTCAACTGAGAGTATTCAATCTCCAACTTATAGGTTAAGAGTGTTAGTTATGTCAAAGGACAGTGAAAAAACACCGTTCTCTTGTAATAGGTGATTTAAATGTTTTTTTATACAACTAGGCTATTTTTAAGGTAATACGAATAAATTGTTATAATTCTTAATTGTTGTAATAAACAATTAAACTTTCTGAAAAAATAAAACAAAAAGTTAGTAATACTTGTTTAACGAAATAAATTATGAAAAGAAACAATATAAGAATAAATCGAGCCCACTGAATACACAGTGTGTCCTTAAGGAAATTATTCCCCTCAAGTACCCGAGGTGCTGGAATATATCCTCCCAAGATAGAACGATTTAACTCACCGGAGTATTGGTACCAAAACGCTAGTGAACAGCGAACCACTCGAAGGCTGTAAAACACACTGGAATTTTTGTGCAGAAGAAGAAGAAGAAGCAGGTCAGAAAATTTCGTAAGGAAAGATTATGGGATTCAAACTCTATTTATAGAGTTGCTGAGGCATTGTTTCTGAAAAAGGTTTGCAACCTTTCAGAAACAGTCATGGCTGTTGGAACAGGGTTGTTTGAAATATTGCGGGAAAATGTATTTAAAATAATCCGGGAAAGAAAACGGGCCTAACCGAACCGGATCGCGGGTCATGGATTATTCCGGATTGAATTTTTCTTTAATTATTTAATTAATTAATTAAATAATTGAAAGGAATTTTGTCCAAAAAGATTAATCAATCAATCGATATTTGACCAAATCCGAAGCCGAAGCCGAGCGAGCGACGACGACGACGGCGTGAGGCTTGCCTTCTTCTTAACTCTTTAAGAGCTAGAAGAAGAGCAATTATATATATATACCCATCAAAAGTTTTTTCTTCCTCCGATATGGGACAATGTCCCTTTGCCAAGGGAAACTCAAATATTTCATTTTTCCTCCATTTTTCATTCACCCTCTTTAAGATGCACAAGCTTAAAATCCCAACAATCTCCCACATGAATGGGGAATGGCTATAAAATAAAGGAATGCATGGACGCGTGTGTGTTTTACATGCAAGAATTAATTGCATCTGGATAAGTAGGTTTTCCTTTGAACTTTCTGTAGTGAACTTATATCGGATATACTCGGTCAATCGGTAGATTTGATATCTTTGAACCGTCGAGCTTTGTTGTATACCTAGACAACATAAGTTACACAATCAATCCTTAACCATCTATGGTTCCCACGGTTGTGTTCGTTTCAGCCATGAACACCGCGTGGTTTCGTGAGTGCTTAGAGAATGGGCCTTTACTTTCATTCCCCTTGAAGCGGCTTACACTTCACACTCACATAGGTGATTTCTAAACGTGTAATCCTATAGACACACTATCTGGTCATATCCTGCCAGACTTAGCAAATCATTAAAAAACCTTTAAGCTTTGTTGACTCATCAAAAAGCCTTAATGCTTTACCTCGATTTCTGAACATTGTCTTCATCACGAGAATGGGTTGAGTTATTTGACAATGTTGAACCGTCATTCATAACTTTGTTTGATCTCTTTGAACCTAGCTCGTGGGATCTCCAGTCTGCTAGGTAGAGCTACCATCATGATGACTTGTCCTAGACCTTAACCTCATTCCCTTTGATGATCTTTCAACTGCCTCTCTA